CTTCAGTAGCACTTCTTTCCCAGCAAAAGTAAGAAAACTAGTTTTCCAATTCTCCTCAATATAGAAGAAGTTTCAAGTTTTGATCTCCCAATCTCTATGGTTAAACCAAGGTATCTTGAGGGTTTATGAGAGGTGACTCCTAAAAAGGTTTGGCAGATTTTTTTTTTTGGTGGAGTTGGGAGTGTTTTGCTAAAAAAGATAAAAGATTTCTACATGTTGACTTTTTGGCCAGTAAAGGATTGGTACTTATCATGATCTCTAGTAACAAGAGGGTTTGGTTGTTGTCTGCTTGAGTTAAAAGAATATTGTCATTTGTAAAAAAAGGTGGGTGAGGGTTGGACTATTTCTGCAAATTTTGATGTCTTTAAGGAGACCCTTTAAAGTTTGTTGTTTAATGAGACGTGAAAGAATTTCAAAAACAAAAATGAATATATAAGGTGATAGGGGGACTTATTGTCTTATGCATGTAGAGGGGGTTACATAGCCACAAATATTGCTATTGAAATTAAATGAAAAAATAAGTAGAGGTTAAGCAAGTCATAATCCATTTCACAAAGGTAACATGGAAGCCTAATTTAAACAAAATTTGTCTAACACGGTTTCATTCAACTCTATCAAAAGTCTTAGTCATACTAAACTCGATGGCCATATAGCAAGTTTTTCCACTTCTATGCATATTTAAGAAATGAAGCACGTTATTTGCAATAAATATACATATATATATATATATATATATAGTTAGGATCATGTGAGAATAGTTCTCCAGGAAAGAAATAAGAATGATTTTGGATCATTGGATACACTACATCAATGGTTATGATTAAGTCAAAAATTAGTCAATCATTAATGGCAATTTGGTAATTATTAGATCATATTATGGTCAAATATATGTATTTGACCAATAATTAAGGGTAGTTTGGACATCTAATTCAAACTAACCAATCAGTGGGACCTATCACTAACACATTAATAACACCACATTAAATGATGCCTCACACCCACCCACTCCTCGTCATCTTCCACACACACACACACACACACACACACACACACTCATTCGTCGGACCACCGCTCTCCGCCACAATCTCCGCCGCGCCCGCAACCGATTAGCTCCCAAACATTGTTCCCCATCTCTCTGTTGCTAAAGCAACCTCTCGCTGGAAAATCGCGCTGGATTTCCACCGCCTCGCCGCCAGGTCTCTACCATCATGGCACATATCCTCCGGAGAAGTCGTCTCTGCC